ATATATTTTAATTTGATATTTTTATATTTATATATTTTAATTTGGTATTTATATATTTTAATTTTATATTTTTATATTTATATATTTTAATTTGATATTTTTATATTTATATATTTTAATTTGGTATTTATATATTTTAATTTGATATTTATATATTTTAATTTAATAATTATATATTTAAACTTAATATATATATATATTTATAAATTTGAATTTGAATTGTTTCTTCGAAATGTTTCAATATTTACAACAACACCAATTAAAAATGTGAAAAGTAAAACAAATTCTGAATGAAGTTTTTGAATGAATTTTAAATAAAATCTATTTTATTTGTAATATTGTAAAAAAAAAAAAGAGAGAGATTCTAGTTATATATAATATTTCAAGTACCGTATAATACGTCAACTCGTGTCATACGATCGTGTTACATTGATTAGCATTAATCGGTTTACCATATTATAACGGTAATCTTACGTGCCCGTAAGAAGTGCACGGATGAAATTCAACTTCTCGGTGAAATTTCTAAAACGATTATCTTAATGGATCAGATCGATCAATGAAGAATAATCAAAAAAGAATTGAACGAAGAAAACAAATCATCTGACTGGTAAAAAATTATTTGAAAAAAAAATATTTAATTATTATAAACATCGAAATATGTCGAATAATTTTATTTTATTTTCTATAAATGTATAAAAATAATTGCAATTTTAGAATTTAATTATTTAATCGTTAATTAAAATTTTCTTAATTGTTTACAAGGTGGAATTATTTATCGAGAGTTCAAAAATAAAATTTAAAATAACAAAAAAATCCAAAGAATTTATTATAATAATTATTTTATTAATATTAAGTATTATTAAATAATAAATAATTAATATATTAAATATTTGAATGTGTGTGGTATAAATAAAAACATTCTGAAACTTAAGATTATGTTCTATGGAAGAAAAATAATTGCAATCTTATGATTAAATTATTTAATAGGAAAATAATTTTTCCTATTTTTTATAAGATGAATTATTTATCCAGAGTAGGAATAAATAAAAAATAAAGCAAAATATTTTATATTTCGTAATAGGTTCTTATATTGCTTGGTTAGGTTCTTACCTAACCTAACATTATTACATATTTAAAATGATTTAAATCAGAAATATAAATTTCTATGTACATATTTTCTTTTATTTTTTACAAATATAAACAATTATTTATCAAAATTACAAAAATATTTGTTTATCTCATTAAAAAAAAATCTATGTATAATTTTTGTTAACAGGCGTAAGTCCAAAGGACAATGTTGTCGTACATGTTACCAACGGAGGACAAACCACCGCCTGGAGAACCGAATCAAAATCATCAAAAAACCCAAGGAAATTATCGAAACACAAGCAGCACCAGTACCAGTACCAGCAACAGCAGATTACACAAAAATCCACGAGACCAATATCAACAACAACACCACTATCAACAACAACAATACCATCAACAACAACAACAACAACAACAACAATCACAAGCAATTCGGCAAAAAACAACGGCCTCTACTATAGCAAATACATCGACATCACCGAAAAAATTTGTAGACGGAAATATTAGAACTATGATAGTTTCTAATAAAATTGAAGATCATCATCAACAACAACAACAACAACAACAACCACCAAGTTCGATGGATCGTCATCATCAATCTCAATTTCAATTCCAACAACAACAACAATATCAGATACAACACTCCTTGTCATCGGAAAGTCCAAAACACAATGGTACTTTGGTAACCAAAAAATCAACCCTACACAATTCGAATAGGGTTACTAAGGATGACAGTTTATACAGTATCGATAGTGATGCTAGTACTGTTGGTAGCGATCGGAAGAATAAAATTCTCAACGGTGCAAAACATGCCAGTCTCAAGAGGTAAATGAAACTTTTATAAAACACCTATTACATAAATCTAACTGTTGATTTAACTTTTGTTTTAAGAGGATTGGATCAAGGGATTTGTTTAGTTACAAGTTTCAGTTTGAGTTTAGGTCTGAGTTTGAGTTTGAGTTTAGTTTAAATTGAGTTTAAGTTTAAGTTTGAGTTAAGTTTGAGTTTGATTTTAGTTTGAATTGAGTTTAAGTTTGAGTTTGGATTGGAGTTGTGTTTTAATTGGGTTTAAGTTTGAGTTTGAGTTTGAGTTTGAGATTGGGTTTGAGGAATAAGAGGTGAATTGAGTTGAGTTGAGTTGAGTTGAGGAATAAGAGGTGAAGGTGAAAGAGATTGAGGAAGAGGAGTAGGAGGAAGAGGGGGTGTTGTGGGGGCTGCTGGCAGATCGAAAGATGGAGATAGAGAGTTCAAAGGTCATTCGAGAGCACCTTTCTAATTCGGTTCGCTAGCTCGGTCTTTAACCTCGGTTCTCCTCGTTCCTAACAGATGCCACGATGTATATCGAATCTTTCTTTCTTTCTTTCTTCTTATTCTTCTTCTTTTTGTTCTTGTTCTTCTTGTTCTTCTATCTTATTTCTTTCTTTCTCTTTCTAACCTCTCTACTGTTGAGATTTACTTTCGCGTAGCTTAGCACTGCACATGACTGCAAGAGTACACACTCTATTAATTCTAATCCAAACTGTCAGGAAGTTAGAATCAGTCACATACTATTTTTCACTTAATATATTGTTTTAATGTCGAGGTAAAATGATTATTATTACTTTTTGTTAGATATTGTTGAGAAGATGAACAATGCAATGACTTGATTGATTCATTTGTTGATGATATTTATTTTTGTTTGAACAGTTTAATGTTAGAAAGTATTATTAGTTTGCAATATAATATATTACTTTTTCAAACTGATCAGTTTTGATTATTAAATTTTGTAAATTAAGAATCAGTCACTTACTGATTCTCCTCCTTTCTCATTTTCAATTAACACATTGTACAACTTAACCTAAAATATTTATTAATACTTTTTGTTAGATATTTTTTGATAAGAAGATCATTACAATGAAATCATTGGTTCATTTGTCTATGATATTTATTTTTATTAGAACAGTTTAATATTAGGAAATATTATTAGCAATTGCAATTTAATATATTACTTTCTAAATCTGATCAATTTTTATTATTAAATTTTATCAATTTAGTATCAGTCACTTACTCATTTTCAATTAAAACATTCAAAATATCAGGACCTATCTATCCTAATCAATTTTAATTATTTAACATTGTGAAAATGTAGAATCAATCATTTGTTTTTCTGTATAAATATCAGGAAATATTATTAGACTGCATTACATTTGTTATTCTGACCATTTTTTATTATCGTTTATTGAATTTAATAGAATGTTCGTTAATTGCATTTAGGATCTCATTTGAAATGATCTATGTGTATTATATATCGTTTTATCTGACTATGTAGGACGAGAGTGGTAAAAACGTACTTCCAACTGTGTTACACAACAGAGTTGCGAGATAATGATTTATAAATACATATTAGTTTTGTTGGCTTTAATACTTTGACGTGTTCCGCTCTTATTCGTTCAAACGTCAAACTAAATAAGTAAGTAAGTAAGTAAGTAAGTAAGTAAGTAAGTAAGTAAGTAAGTAGGTAGGTAGGCAAGATTTCCAAATACTTTTATTTTATATCCAAATCCAAATACAGATATTTACAGTATACATGTTTTGTCCTATTGATTTGATTTGAAAATTTTTAAAAAAATTTTTTTAATATTAAAATGATTTTATTTGGACATTAATTTGTTATTTTTAGATAAATTATATAATGTTAAGTAATTTTATTTAAATAATATTTATATATTTATATATTTGAGAGAAGAAAAATGAACGACGATTGCGCGCGAAAAACTTTCAGTCTTTGATCACGTGGTGTGTGGAAGGAAGGGGAATAACCAATCACCAAGCTGAACAATATAATATATTAAATATATATAAATTTACAAAGAAACAAATGGAAAACTATATATTTATTTTATTTTTAATTTTATTAGAATATTTTTCAAAATTATTTTCCTTAATTGTTTGAATTGTTTGGTAATTGTTTGAAATTAATATTTTATATAATGGAAAAAAAAATATATATATATATAACGAGACATGTTATTTTTACATGAATAAAAAAAGAATTAAATCAATCGTATTATATATATATATATATAAAAAGGAAAGGTTAAAGATGAAAAGTAACATAATCATTGAAATAGACTTATGATCTTATGATCGACGTGAAGTTAACAGTTGAACAGTGCCAAATCAAATGACTACAATGTGCCAAGTATTGCAACATTGAGAATACATTTTCTGCTACTACCTTTTGAAAGGTAAGATTGCATCTCAACTGAAGGAGTAGAAATCGACTAAACAAAATATATCGAAAGGTCTTCGTGTAACTTCCTAAATATATGAACAAAAAGAAATAAAAAAGAGACGAGGTGAAAGCATGAAAAGAACAAAAAAAAAGAAAACAAATAACAAAACGATAAAGGTTTTCTATATACAAAAGTAACATTTACTTTTGTTTTTTTTTTTTGCTAACGCACGATTTTATTTCACTTGGAAACATTTTCTTTACTTCGTAATACGATATTTTACGACATTTGTACGTGGGATAGGTCAAGGTCAGTTGTCGTAGAAAATACTAAACCCCCACCCCTTCTCTTTACACACTCCTAAGTCATCTCCCCCTCCCCACTTCTCTTTTATTTTACTTTATTCATATTCTTTTTATTTACTTTTATTCATACACCTAAGTTTTTTTTTGCTAACCTTTTGTTTTGCTGATTGAAAATAATTTCTTTGTGATTTTTTTTTTTTTTTTAAGGATCTGTCATTCATGTATTTGTTTCTGAATGATTTTTTTTAGTATTATTTTAAATGATTTTTTATATAATTGTTAAATAAAATTAAAATTTAAGCGAAGTAAAGTGAACGAAGATTGTGCGCGAAAAACTTTGAGTCTTTAATCACGTGGTGTTTGGAAGAGAGGGGAAAGCACCAATCACAAAACTGAACGATTTAATATAGTAAAATAATTGTATTATTTATCTATTTAAGGACTTCATTAATTTTTATTTTTTTTATTAATATTTATTGACAAAAATAAAAATAATTGAATAATCGTACATTTTGCAACGATAATTTAATTTTATTTAAAAAAAAATAAAAAAGTAATAGCAAGATAAATTAAAAAGTTATAAAATCGTATATTTTATTTATTACAAACATTTATTTATAATAATTTATAAAATTGTTATAACAAATTGTGTACTTTTTACTATAATGAAACAAATAACAATAAGAAAAACTCTAAAATTGGAATTGAATCGTTTCAATTTATTTAATAAATTATTTAATGAATTATTTTCTTTGATAACTGTGTAAAATATAAATTTTAGAAACAAAAAAAAAATTAAAAATGTACAATTTTTAGCAGAAAATGAATGCGTTTAAAACGTCTGTTAGGAAAAACATGAAGTAGTTACTTATTTTAACGAAATCGTAATTCTCGTTTAACCTCGCGACTAAATTACATTTGCCAGAAAATTATTGCGTTGTGGACTTAAATTCTCTTTCTCTCTTTCTATTTTCGTACATCGTAGATTTTTAAGAAGAACGTACGTTATTTATACCGGAAACAGATATATATATATATATATTTATTTACTTACTTACTTTCTTTATTTGTTTTAATATTACGCGTAGAATTTAATCGTACATTTATTTTCACACACATATATTGCATTTTGAAAAGAATTATTTCGAAGAAAAAATAATACGTCGATTGTGAGTGGGTGGTGGGGATGAGAAACACAAAATTTCGTTTATAAAAATAAAAGACGATTGGTCAACAAATTTTCAGCCTTTAAACGTCCAGTGTGTGAAAGGGAGGAGGAAAAACCAATCACAAAGTTAAAAACCATTTTCAAACTCATTTCCAAACTCATTTTCATGTATATTTCCTAATCTCAAAACTTTCCGTGTTTCGTTAGGCCCAAAAATTGTCAACTTTCACTCTCATTTAATTTTACACTCCTATTTTTCATGACAAATAATTTTCTATCAAACAAACAAACAAACAATTTTTATTACTTTTAAAAATATATTCCTTTAAGTAAATTAAAAAACATGAACAAAACAGCAAAAAAATTGCAACTTCAAATAACACTGAAATTTTCAGGTTAATTTTGGTCGATAAAACAGAAACCGTTTTTACTACACCATCACACCAACCTTTATTTGAGGTTAACCAATGATTTTTAACGTTGTATCTAAGTTAAATCTTTCAAAGGGCTTGCTTATCTCTATATCGAAGTGCACTTTAGGGTTACATCAAAAGTGTATCGATTGAAGGAACCAACCAACCAACCACCCAACCAACCAACCAGCTATAGACTCGACCTCGACCCCGACCCACCCCAACTTCGACCAATCCGGATACCTTCGAGACTGGACTTCTTACGTCCTTCTCACCTTCGTGTTCTTTAAACTCGACACGTCTGATTCATATTATCTTGGATTATCCCTTTTTTCATTTTTCTTATGGTTCTTCACTGGGTCATACGAAATACTCAAACATCGTGGTTTTCAACTTGTCTTCATTTATCAACCCTTTTTATCAACCTAATCATTAATTAGGTTGTCTATCAGATTGTTTAATCATAAATAAATTCGTTATGCAAACTGATAAGCTTTTTCAGCCAGTGCATACGGGAACGCATGTGTTCATTTTAAATTATTTATATTTTTTATTTGTTTTTTTTTTTTTTTATTCCGACAAAGCCTTAAAATATCCTAAACATCTTGAAATTTGAGAATACGTTTCGTTTTTCCTCAAAAATTACAATTAAAATAGCCAGTGGTCACTGTTTTATACGCATGACGAGTATACTCGTCATTAGAAAAATTGTTCCACTTTTAGA